GTCTTATCTAATTTAAACATTACATAAATATTGAAATTAATGAAGTATTTTAATATTACAGTTTTAGATTGTGTTCTCCGACTGAATACAGTAAATCATACTGATTTGAACGCAACAATTTTAAAACACTAATCTGAACACACTAGTATGAACACAGTGATATGAATTTATTTTTCAAAGGCAGTGAAAATTGATTACTCAATAGTCATAACTTTCTGGAAAATTGAATTTGTAAGCAGATAGATTTTTTATATTAAACGCCTATCTAAGAAATCTAAATATTTTATTACATCTGATTGAGGTAATATCATACTGTCTTTTTTAACCAACGGCAAGTTATAAAGACAATATTAAGACTAAAAAGAAATTTAATCGGACCGACTTAACAATGGTTCTCTTCAATAAAATGCTGTAGTCACATTTGCTGTGTAATCTTCAAATATTGTGGAAGTAATTCCAACTAAAATAGATAGAGAAATCAGTTACAGAAACGGTTCAACTACTTCTATGGCAATATTTAACATTATTTCATATAATTTAATCATTTTTTTTATGAAATTTAAGAAATTTCAAAACTGCAACCAACAATTTCCGTTATAATACTTTAGAAAAACGGAATTTATGAAACTTTTTACCTGAGAATGAATACCTTGCAAATTAACTGGTACAAGTTAGTATAATAATTTCGTCCAAAAAAACTTGGAAGAAACACATTTCCCTGATTAAACCCCAACAACATATATTTAACTAGTGCAACTTTAACACTCGTAGTCTCATCTTCCATCTGTTAGTTTTCTACATCCATTTCATTCTTTGTAAATTCCTTCCTTTGATGTTGAAATAAAACAAAAAGTACTTACCACAAAAGCCTTAGGCTACTGTAACTACATTAATTAATGTAACTTTCTATTAAAATTCTCTTCATTAAAACACATAATTTTCACAAAATTCAACTCTAGTTATACTTTCGACAATTCACAAAAGAAGTTTTATGCATTTCCTGTACACTTGGCAGCACTGTACCATGAATTCCTTGTACTTTTATCAAATCTGAAACGAAAACCTCAAACTTAGAAAAACACACAAAACTGTTGAAAAATTAAATGTCATTCTCCAGCACTGCTGAAGACATCTGCAGCTTACGTTGAAGCTCTGGTAGTCTCGCATACATGCTTATATGCTGGAACACTTAACGGAAGTACTTTGCAAATATACTCATTTTTCACAACTTCGTTCCTACGCTTTGTTATGCTTTGAACTTCATTTCTGAAGTACTTTTCCTGCATGGGCAATGCTTTTCCTTGGTCTTCATTCTTTACATTAAGTTCTTGATAAAAATATAAATAAAATAAAAATAATAAATGTTTTACTCTGTGATGTTTTACACAAAGTTTTATTCTTCTGTATTATGTAATTTATTTTATTTAAAGAACTTATTTTATTATGTATAAATTAAAGCATTATCTTAAATCGTTCTAATATATATATAGACTCATCTAAAAAAATTGGAAATAATTGTAACACATATCTTATCACACTAAAGATAAATGAATTCAAAATACATGGGTCATTCTCTTATAAAGAGAATAGGTTGTGATATCATCCCTATCGATTTGGCTGTAATTTTTCTACATTTTAAAAAGAAAATATTAATACATATATCGGAAAAAAATAAACATGGATCCGCAGGGTATTGAGAAGTAGAGAATATATTCAAATCCATTTAATAATTTACAACAAAAATTACTTTACCGAACTCTAACAAGTTAATCTTTATTTGATATCGGGTCGGATGCATTATAATTATTATTTAAAAGTAAGATGCCTAAAAGCAAGAGTCTTTGTTTACCAGGAGTAGAGCATTTACACAGAATATTCTCTGTTATTTTGATGTTCATTTTAAAAAATTAATCAATAACAGTAAAGGTAGTTTATACTTTACAGTCCACTCTGATTTGAAATTATACATATATAAGTTGGAACTCTCTGACACTACCCTAAATCTGAACAGACTGAAGTGTAAAGTATATTGGTACAATCTTTTGGGTGGCTCCGACACTACTCCAATATATTTGAGTCTATCCTCAAATCAGAGTGAACTGTAAAGTAGACCAGTAGAATCTTTTAGGTCTCATTAACACTGTACCAATTTAAGTGTAACCGCAGATCGAAGTGAAATGTAAAGTATAGGTATATATTTAATCCTTTAACTCCTAGGAGAAGCAAAGGTCCGAAAAGTGTAAAGTATACTGGTAGAATTTTTGAGCGTGTCCGTCACTACCCACAATTTACTTTAGTCTCACCTCAGATCAGAGTAAACTGTAAAGTATACTAGTAGAATCTTCTGAGCCTCTGCAACACTGTCCCAATTTATTTAAGTCTAACCTCTGATCAGAGTGTAGTTTAAAATATACTGGTACAATCTTTTAGGCCTCTCCGATACCACCCCAATTTATTTAAGTCTAATCTCTGATCAGAGTGAAGTGTAGAGTATACTGGTACAATGTTTTAGGTCTCTCCGACACTACCCCAATTTATTTAAGTTTAACCTCAAATCAGAGTGAGCTGTAAAGTATACTAGTAGTCTCTCCGACACTATCCCAATTTATGTAAATATAATCTCAGATAAGAGTGTGTGTAAAGTACATTAATAGAATCTTTTGGGCCTATCCGGCACTGTCCCAATTTATTTAAGAGTAACTTCAGATCTGAATGAACTGTAAATACACTGGTAAAATCTTGAAGACTACCATACTTTGCGAAAGTTACTTATTTTCTATTCCCATCGCATAAATAATATTCCTTACTAGTGATACACACTAAGTTATATAAATTTGTTGTGAAGCAATTTTTATGTAAGCAATTTTTTGTTTACTATACACAGAGCGATAAGCAAATTAAATTAACAGCTTTCTGTTAGAGGCTTACAGTATGGCCTGATTCATGTTAGGTTAAATGTTAAATTACAGAAAGAATTACAGAATTTGTTTGTAGTATGCATAATGATTTTGTTTTTTATATTATTATTTAATTTAAAAAGTACAAAAAAATGTTCATTTCATTATGTTGTATATTTAATAATATATTTCCAAATTCTTTGTAAAATTTTAAACCAATTTTAGTAGTCAAACTTTATCCTTTAAGCCAATTGTTGTAAAATATATTTAAAAAATATTTTTATCCATATATTTCTCCTGGGAACACTAAGTTTGCAATTTAAATGTATGAAACTATTATTAGTTTCTATGCAAAAGTCAGGAAAATTATAACCAAACCAACTAACTGGCATTTATTACTAGATACTTAGTATATTTATACCGACAGAAACTATTATTACTTTTTCAGAATTTAGAAAAAGTAATAAATGAAAAAGTAATTTAAATTTCGAAATAAAAATGACAGTTAATCCCAGTAGCTCAAAGCATATTACTATTGTCTAAATCCTTTTAATACCAGTGGTTTCAAGTAAAGATTCAATTCGACAGTATTAAGTAGAGAATAAAAGAATAGAATTTTAAAAACATTTTACTAGAATTTGAAATGTGCAAAAACAATGGTTGAAAATATGCTTCCGCTTTTAAGCCGGCATTTATGATAACAGAAATAGCGCATATCTAGCATACCTATCTCATCACATTAGCACCCAAAAGTATGATTGTGTCACTGAATGCTCCATAAAATCTAGAAAAAAAAGTACAAGGTTTTCGGCACGCATCGCGAAGTTGCAAGTTGCAAGTTGTTAATTTTGAAAAAATCGGGAGACATGCCAAAATTGGGACTCGTAAAAGAAAATAGCATAGATGAAGTTTGGAAAAAATGCAAAAAAAGGAACGAAAAGAGTAAATGAATCTATGTCAGTAAATGGTGCGTGCAGAAGGCAAAATTTTCAATACATTTTTATTCGATATTGTATAACTTTGCCATCAACAAGCTTACAGTACCGCTCACAGTACCACTCACAGTAACTGGGAATTATATTAACAGGATGTGACGCATAGTTGAAAATGCAATGAACAAAACCAACATGACATCGTAAGTCGACAGACAAAACAAAATGGAAATTCTTTCATAAAGGAGTAGCAGCGAGAGAAAAAATTGCATGGAAACTATGAGCAAAAAGTGAACAAAAATGGCGACAAGGAAAGCAGTAGTATAGCAACTATTCGGATAGTTCCAAATGTCTGTGTGCAACTGATAGTTTTAAAAGTTGCATGGGAGAACTCTCCTGTGGGTAATGTACAAGCAAACTGGTTAAAAAGGATGAAGTTTTGATTAACAAACAACGAATGCATGCTGTTGTGCTATTTTCCTATTATGTCAAACATTCCCACAGGACATGATTTTTGCCTCGCACAACATTTAACAAATGAAGTTTCGCCAAAAAAAGAAAAAATTATTAAAAAAAAGAATTGCAAATTTTATATGAAAAACTTTTTAATAAATTTTGATGGAATCAAATTTACTAAAATTAATAAAATATTTGTGGGACAAAATAAATTTTATAAAGTCGTCTTTGTTGGGTACTTATTGTAACATAAAGTAGCCTAGATCAAAGGATTCTATAATGAGGAGAACTTAATGAAATAAAGAGTTACAATTTATAATCGTTAATACCACATTACCATATTAGTAAAATTAAAATAAATATAAATTATTCTGAGACATTAAAGTATAATAGAAGATATATGGTAAAAAGGAAAATGTTGGAAAGATTTTTGGAATTCAAACTGATTAAAATTAATTAATTTTAAAAAATTAATTAAGATTTGTAATTTTTCACTTTCTTTTAGTTTGGTTCTTTCAAATTTAAATTAATTTGTTATTTTTAAAATTAAGATTTCTAATTTTTTTGCTTTCTTCTGCCGAGATTTTGTTCAAAAACACATTATATTTTAAACTTAAATTTCTAGAAATATTCAAACATATAGTTAATTTTTAACACTCATTTTATTGTTTAATTTATTTTTATTTATTTTTTTACAGGTGTACTTTTTTTATACATTGCTTATTTTCTGCTTTAATATCCTTTTCACGTAAATTTAATAATTGTAGTAGGAATAATCGAAAGAACCGAAATGTTCGTATTGCTTTGTGAAGTATTTTTCGTATTTCTCTTCGTGGAAGATCTTGACATCCTTGAAGAAGGCATTTGGTACGAAGAAATCGAATTCATCGATTTCACGATCGAATGGATAACCGAATGGAAGTTCATCAACATAGCGAGTGCCAGAGCCAACACCACATGAGTAGGAGTAATCGAAGTTGGAGAATTGAGAGTGATCACCATGGTATGGTGTGACGAAGAAGAATAATTGCATGGGCATACCCTTAACCCAACCGTGAGGAATGACCAAACGTTCTGGGAAGCCGCAGTGTGGTTCGGTGATAGAAAGTGGGAAGTCGTATTTGCCTTCAAAAGCAAACATAATATATTTGTAGTATTCGGTGTAGGTGGTGTAATCTCCAACCCAGTAGAAGTAGTCCTTGGAGCTGCGCTTGACATCATTCTTGCCACTTTCCAAAGTATAGAAGAATTTGTCAATTTGTACAAAGTTTTGACGGTTTTCATTCAATGAGAAGACACGACCGTATTCATCGAATTTAGGTCCCAAGAATACACGGAAAACGACATCTTGTTTTTTGTCAGCTTCAACGAAAATTTCGTATGTGTATGGTTTGTGGTTAAGACGGGATTGACGAGCCAATAGAGTCTTGTCCCAGACAAATTTACCATCATCGAAGACCATCTTATCGTTCAACAAGTTGGTGACATCAAAGTCGGTGAAATCGAAGTAGGTATAGAAGGCATCGAATTTAACCTCCTTGATAGCAACACCAGGGAAGTATAATTCTTCATAGGTATATGGTTTCAAGTGGTATGTGAAGTAGTAGAATTTCTCGAGTATTAATTTGTGGAACGAGTAGAACATTGGGTCACGTAACATTGTTTCAGGGTTGAGGAAGACATTGGGATAAACCTTGAAGTCATAGTAGTCTACATCGCCGAAGTACATTTGTGCGAGCACGTACCAGTAATTGAAGAAGAATTTGTCGAATGTATCAATATTGCCTTGTAAGAAGTTTCCAATATATTCAACTGCTTTGGGATCGCGTAAATCGAATTTTGTACCATCAGCCATCTGGTAATAACCTTGGTCAATGATGTGGTCAAAGCGGCTGAAGTAATTTTGGATTTTGTTGAATACTTCGTAGTTGCCGTAGGTATCGAATTGCCAGTAATTCTTGCGGTAAGTGTAACCAACACCGTTGTAGTAGATCAATTCTGGATCGTAGCCATATTCGTAAGCGTGATACCATGAGAAGTATGGAATTTCACCATAGCCATGAGACAAGCGTTCTTGATAGTAACGGGCAACGATTTGTTGTAAGGTGTAAATCCAGTATTCACCACGACGATCCTTGTTCAAACCGAAAGTCTTGCCATCCAAGAAGAAAGCGTAATCCATATTCAAGTAGTACCAGAAAGCGTTCCAGTCCAAATCTTCAGTGAAGTATGAAAGATAAGATTCATCATTGTAGAATTCAATATCGCGGGTATAGTCAACTGGCATCCACCATACTTTAACATCATGAAGAGCTTCTATCCATACAGGATCTTTGCTGTATGTTGTGTATTTGGTACCTAAGAAGTATTTGTCATCTTGATACCAGTGTTCACCAAGACCCATCATCTTCCACCATTGCCATGTCTTCCAGTCCTTGGTAAAGAAGTAGCTGTTGTCGTTGTAATAATTTTTACCCTTGTAGAAAATGTCCTTGTATTCCTTTTCATACATAACGTATTTACTCCAGAATTCATAATCGAATTTCTCAGCTTCATAGATGAATTTACTGTTGAAGAAGTATTGTGGGAAAATTTCATAGATTCTTGGCAAGAATAGACCTTCGAAGTCTGGACGGTGAATGACAGCCAAGGTAAGGGCATACACGAACATGCCTTCATTAACATGAATACGAGCCCAAGCAACGTTGCGCATGAAAGTGTCCCAATCCTTAGCAAAGTAGAAGAAATTAAATAGACCCCAAGCCTGTTTGTGATGAGTCTTAGCGAAAGCGCCAAAGAATTCACCTTTAGGTAAGAGGGCACCATATTTATATGATTCATAGAATTTCTCCATATAATAGTCGAATTTCTGTAAGAAAACATTTTTTCGTTTTGTTAAAATGTACCAAATGAAATGTCAGCACTTAAGGTGCAGAACGAGCTCACACTTACGGTATAATATGACTTGTCAACAATGAATTTATCACCGAACTTAATCCATTCCTCGAACATCAAAGGATCTTCTACACGATATACAATCTCGAATAAGAATTTTTGTTTGAACAAGAAATCCTTGTCAGCAATTTTAACTTCCTTCTTGTAAGGAAAGCTGGCCGCAGCCACGCAGCCAACTAGGGCCAAAAGCAAAATCGTCAATTTCATGTTCTACGACTAAATCACAACTGCTCCGGATTAGATGCCTATGCTCAGTTCGATACCCAAAGACTGTTGACTTAAACTGCTGCATACGGCAGCTTTTATACCAAAATCACCTCAAATTTGAGAAGAGCATTTCTAAAGAAATTTGTGCATAACAAAAATTCGATCGCAATTCTTAATTGGTCTCTGGTGTCTGATAAACCTCATTGACCCCGCAACATCTGATATGAGCATTTCAGCATTGGTATTATGCTTGCATTTGAGCATTAATGCTGCGTTCTCTGATAACAACTCATCGTCTTTTAGTTGAACTTGAAATTGACGAAATTAGTTAGCACCTTGCAAACCTGAGCTGACGCGTATCTGCACTAAAAGCAATAAATTTTTTTAATTGCAGTTTTTTAATTAAGTTTCTTAAGCAACGGCGACGAATTTCAAATGCAGACAAACTGATAAGGTTACTCTGTTATTTTTTAAATTTTATTATTTTTTTTTTTTTGTGAAAAGTATAAAGTTTATAAATAATTCAAAATTGGTGAAATTATTAAGTTTTTATAGATATTAAAATATTCCAGCATTATTATATTAGCGATGAGAGTTTATTCTATCACAACTACTTCATTTCAGTAACAGATTAACATGCGTGCCTATATTTCTAGATGTATTTCTTGATGTAGAATACTTGAAGTAAGTGTAGGGTTGAATAGGTTATATTTATTAAAAAATATATTAATATTAAAATTAGTGATATTAGTAATATTAATAGATAATGTAATATCAAATAACATATATGCAAAAAATCATATACTTAATACTTTTCTGAAACTTATTTAAAGAGACGATTTGTCCATATACCTATTATACCTGCAGTTATAGTTAGTATATTACGTATATATGTTAAATTATATATTATTATTATTTACATAAAAAATTCCACTTTTCAAAAGATAATGTTCTGGATTCAAAGAATTGTTATTTATATACACATTTGTATACACAATTAAGTTTATTTATTAAATAAACATCAACAGTTCTTCAGTTCAGTGATTGTAAATTTAGAGATATTATACAAAGATATAAGATATATGTGTCATACAAAGAGAGATATCACTCGATAAAACATTACTGAATTCAAAATTACCACTTAATTTAAATTATGTTAAATACTCGTAATAATTATGATAATTATGATAAATACAAGCGTTAAATACATATATTTTTGAAGCAAAAATTAATTAATAAGTAATCACCTGTACATTGTTAGTAGCTTAGTTACTTTCAAGCAGCCCTAAGAATATTTGAATGTAGGTCCCCTCTGCTGTTAAAATTTTAACAACATTAAATTATTATTAGTCTGGAAATTCTTGATACACACTATAGATAAAAATTAATGTGTTTATAACTTTGAATAGGTTAGCTTAGGTTCGGAAGGCGGATGTTGACCGTTGTCAGATCTTTCACTCAGAGGCATATAACTTTGAATAAAATAATGTCATTTTATATTACAACAACTTCGGTAACATAAATAGCTTGACCCAAAAAATATTCGACATCATAATTAATATTAATTATTATTTATATTGATTCCATTTGAAATAAAATATTTGATATTCATCAAAAAAACAAAAAGGATGTATCGTAAATATTATATTTAGCATTATACTACATTTTTACTTAGTGAACCTAAAGTACAATATAATTTTGGTAGTCTTAATCAGAATAATATGATATACATAATATAACATGTTCTGTTATGATTTATTTATTAAGAAATCATGAGCAATTAATATGGGCTTTAACATCCTCCTTCCATTCAATTAGAACCTCACAAGCTGGAACGCGTGTACTAAATACTATTAAATAGTATATAGTAAATAGTATATCTCGGTAGCATTACAAAAAAAAACTGCGAAATAAGAGAAGGTGTTATTGTCAGAGTCAATAAGACTAAAAGTGATTTTACTCGCCACTAGTATATGAAACTACGACTATATCCACCTCTACAAAACTTTACATGTTTAATGTTAACTTAAGGATAGTTCTATTTAATGAAGTTGAAATATGGAAGAGTACCACTACAGTTTAATGAAAACTTCAGATGCTTATAAACTAATTTCCACAAAGAATCTTGTACATCTGGTGGTACCAGAAAACAGTGACACACTCTACGAAGTCTAAAAATCATTACAGTTTCACAGGCACTGAGGTGAAGTCCACAAGGTTCAAGATGATCCATTGCGCCGGTCATAACGAAGAAAAGAATACTGGAACACAAATTGAATAATCTAAGTTATTTTTGTTTTTTATTACTATAATAAACCTCGATTTAAATTGATAGCAGAGGTCACATGATTCATCTAATAGGAAGAGTACAATCTCCCAGAAAAAGCATACGTATATACATATGGTTACATGTTATAAAATTCTCAACCAACTCAACAAATTCGAAGCCTATAAAAAAGCTCAAATGGATATGCCTTAGGCAAAATTATTAAGTCGTTTTTATTTAAATATGTGAATTGGCGATAGAGCTAAACTACAGTTCTGATCTTCCTAACAACGCTCTTTCAGTCTTTACATTTTGTCTCACAGTCATCACAGTCTTTGCGCAAATTTTCCCAACCTCTCATAGTTTTCTTTTAACTGTAGAAAATGGAATTAGAATTTAACTGATTGAGATATTTGTCATTGTTGATGATTAGTCTTTTTGATCCTCTGAAATTTATTGTTGGACTCCAAGATTGTGTTTTATAATAAAACCAGCACAGAATCATTTTCTTATTTATTATTACACACTTTTTAGTGCACTAAACTGGTACTTTGGCTTTTATAATTTTCAAGATTCACATTTGATTTCACTAAAAACGCAGTTAAAGTTAGCTAAGGGCAATTCATATACAACATTCGCCCTTTCCTACAACTTTCATTTCTACTAAAATTAGTTTCAGTATATTTTCAATCTACCCTATAACTTCGGAAATCTATAGAATATAAAAATTTATCATTTACATATATTTATATATTATTATATAATAATTAAGCAATAATCACACTATAATTCCCTGCAAAATTTTTAATAGCAAGAACAGATTACGATACGCGGAAAATAATTTAAAGTCAACTCTTTCCGTCTTTTCAGGAATCTGTGATGAACACATATCCGCACAAACACAGCATGAAAGTAATTAAGGTTGAGCAAAACTTTGTTATTCCGATATTTGTTCAGTCGGAAACGCATTTTTCTTGTAGCGAAAATGTAATTAGTCCTTTTAGCTTCATTTAAGCATCCTGCTGAAAGCATTTAAACATTGGGCGATGATATAGAGTAACTTAAATGCAGGCAATCAAGACAAAATAGTAACTCGAATTGCGCCATTTAAGTGCGAATATTTACGCGATATGGAATATATTAGGGAATATATATAATGGAATATATTCTATATAAGTATATTTTTATATGCGAATAAGTGCAAGAGAGTATCTTTAGTAATTAGTCAGTAAAGATATTTATTCGTAATAAAAAGAAATGATAATAAAATTAAGAAAATTGTAAAAAACTAATTTACTTTTATGACTTAATGCATTCCCACTAATTACTTTTTGAAAAACTTTTGCTTTATGGTTGACAAATAAAGAGTTTTTGCTTGTATCCAGTTCAGAAGTTCATCAGTAAAGATATTAAGGAGAACTGTGACCTGGTTAAGTACTCAGTGAAGAAATTTCACAAAATACTTACACCAAGTTTAATTGAATAATAACTACAAGAGAAGCCAAACGGACTGAATGACAGTAGAAATTGTTTGTATTTAAAACAAATTTAAATATATTATTTAAAAAATAAAAAATTTAAGCAAAATGTTTAAAAAAAGATGAGGAAAACTTATAATATAAAAAAGATAATCAATACTTCATGATGATATTTGAAATTATTAAACAGTTTTATGGAAATATCTTCTTACAATATCACAACTAATCACAATTCTAATATAAATGTATCAATGTACTTAGAACCTGTTATAATATAATATTTATTATAATATTTATTTAGAATATTTATTTATAATATTTATTTATTATTATTGTTAGGGGATGTGGCACTGCGATCGTCGGTTCTATTGTGCCCCCTTCTGGGTTTAGAGTACGTCTCTAAAACCTATTGCGTCAGTAAAGAATAGTATAGAACCTACTTTAGTTATAAAAAAAAAAACTGAAGACTAAACTAACTTTCAAAAAAATTCTGATGCCATATAACGATTACTTAAAATCATAGCCTTTTGGGATGACACCAAAAACATTTTTCGAAGAAAATTTTACTGATATATTTAATTTTTTCAAAATAAGATATATGTTCTTAGAAGAATAAAGCAAAATTCAATGATTTTGTCTGAGTAATTTGAATTGACCCCAGTTTTAATGGATCCGGAGTTCTACTTTATTAATTAAGCTATCTAAAATAGTAGTTATATTTCAAAGAAACAAAAAAGTTCCGAATAGGGTTGCGTCAGAATGTACGACGCTTTAAAGACCATTACTTTACTTAGCATTAACGTGTACAGTTTGCGTTCAGTTCTACCATATCAAACTACCAGAACTAAAGATGAAAAATCTAAGCTTTGCTATCGAGTTATCTATAGTAGTAGTATTTCGGTTTATTTTATTTCATTTTAAATTTATTGTATTATAATGAAACAGGTATACATATATATTAATGAGGCTTACAGTTATAGCATTTTAGCCATTCGCCGGAAGTTAGGATCTATTAATCTATTAACTACTTATCATAAATATTAAATAAATATAAATATTAACAAATTCAATTATATAATAAAAGTATTAAATTAAATTACTAAAACAAAAATATCAAATATCATATTAACTCATTTAAAAACTTCAATTAATTATCTTTTTAATAAAAGTTTTTTTTAATTTTTAATAAATGTCGTTAACAATCTAAAGATGTGGCCATTCAGTTTCATCGAAGTTTACCGAAGAAAATCATTCTGTGTTCTTTAAAAATTGGGCAGACTTACATATATATAACTGTTTTATATAAAGTTTTATCAATATATTGAGATT